ACACCAGCCGGTGTGAAGCTCTGTAGGATTGTGCTGCATGCAGGGCAAAGCCCAGTGCGTTCCTAGAGTTAGTCTGAGCCTCTGAGGAACTTGGCTACATAGCCCATCCCTTTCCCTGCTAACGAGACCTGGTTTTTATCTTGCATATCCTTTTTCCACTTAAAACTGGAGGCTGCTTGTACTGCTAGTTGGATTATCTTTTCTTTAATCCCCTCACTTCTTTTCCGATACTCACGTGTGGCTGTGGACTTCGGAGAGGAGGGTAGTCAGGTGATTAAGATGCTGGACTGGATGGCAGGATGCCTGAGTTCAGCTTCTGCTTGTGCCAGAGGCCCTCCTTTGTCACCAGGGGCAAGACCCTTAGTTTCTCAGCAGCTGAGCCTCTCACCAGTAGAATGAGTATGATAAACTTCCCTTCCTCTTGGAAATGTTGTTGGGGTCAATTAATGTGTGTGACGTGCATAGATATTATAGAGGTAGGGGGGAGCCATATATGTAGGAAGACCAAGTGGCATAGGCCCTGGAGTGGGACATAGATTCAGTTCCCAGTGCTGCTGCTGTTTTGTTTGGTGGTCTTGAGTAAGTCACTGTGTCATTGCAACTCCCCCTGTAAAATAAGGATGGCCCCCATTGTACAGCATTTTGAGATATGTACCTAAAAAGTGGTATAGAAGTAGGTGCTGTTATCATTAGTCATGTTATTGCTGCTACTAAGTGATGCACCGCTGTGACCAGTTATTACACTTCGTCCCTCTGTTAGGTCACCAGCCTGGCCCTGGCACTATAAAGAATGTTTTTGCTAGGCTGTGGGCTCTGTAGTCCAGTCTGTGACTTGCCAAAGAAAGGACCGTGTGGTTCATTGCTTTTTCCTGCCTTTCTGCTTCTAAATTGTACTTCCTGCCTCAGGTTTAGCTTGGCATTTGAAGACCAGTGAACCAGATCCTCTGCTGGAGTAGACTGGCATAGCTCCGCTGACTTCAGCAGAGTTTTGTTGACATATGCATAACTCAGGATCTTCCACAAAGTCTGGAGTGATTAATTTATGTATAGAGATGATTTCCACATTTTTGCACTCCATCTTCATGTCCTTTGACAAAATCTATAAAGCAATGATAACTCACGATGCATTTGGGTTAGGATCAGGTGGTATTAAGGTGGATCAAAGATGGACTCTAGCAGCGATTCTACTCTGTTCACATTAGAAGATGGGTTTCCTTGTTCAAAATAACTGTGTAGTGGTGATAATGCCTTGGAAATATTTAATGAAACCCTAACCACTGCAAGAAGTTGAGCCATTGACTCAAATGGAGGAAGCTTTTTGCATTATACATAGGGTATTATAGATGGACTATTGCCTTTAAATAAGGGGGTTCTGTTTGGTAGCACACACCTGACCATAATCCAAATTCACCCAAGTGGCAGCTATTGTAAGGGGAATTTCTGTGCATTTT